AGATGATCTTATCATCACTGGTTCCACTTCCAATTTAATTGATACTTTCATCCAGAAATTTCAAACCTCTTTGGCCATAAAGGACCATAGAACCTTCATTATTTTCTTGGCATTCAATTACATCACACCGATTCTGGTCTTATCTTAACACAATCTCGCTATGTGCAGGATCTCCTAAATAAACTAAACCTCCAACACATTAAACTTTCACCCACTCCCATGATTGCTGGTAAACAATTATCCATGCACGATGGTGACCCTCTCCTTGATCCTAGTCTCTACCATACTTCTCTTGGCTCTCTTCAGTACCTCCTCCACACTCAACCTGACATTGCCTTCGCTGTCAATAAACTTAGCCAATTTCTTCAGGCTCCTACTACCCTTCACTGGCAAGCTCTTAAGCGGATTCTTCAGTATCTTTAGGGGACCCTCAACCCCTCTCCATCCAACCAGCCACTTCCATTACTCTCACAGGCTACTCTGACGCAGACTGGGCCTCATCTCCGGATGATCGTAAATTAGTTAGTGGATATTGTGTCTACTTTGGCAATACTCTTGTCTCATGGTCCTCCAAGAAACAAGTTGTTGTTGCTCGATCTAGTACTGAATCTGAATATCGTGCTTTATCCCATATAGAATGTGAACTCATCTGGATTCGCTCTCTACTTCATGAATTAAAGGTTGGTCTTACTTCTACACCTATAACTTTGTGTGACAATGTCAGTGTTGCTGCCCTTGCTCATAATCCGGTGTTTCATGCTCGCACAAAGCATATAGAAATTGATGCTCATTTTATTCACGATCAAGTGTTAGCTCATCAACTTGTCATCCGACATCTTCCGTCCAAGAATCAGATTGCAGATTGCCTCACCAAACCATTATCTCATACTTAATTTCACTGCCTCCACGACAAACTCGGGCTTCGCCTATCTCCCCCGTCTCGTTTGAGGGGGGTTGTTAAGACATAATCACACTACTGTTCTCCTTTATGCTCTTGGTCTTGTATCTTGTACTTGATAGTAGCTTTATGTCTTGTTAGACATTCCTCTCTAATTACTTTAGGTAAAGTATAGTCATTCATTATTCATTGCAGTAGGTGAGGTTAGGTGGTTTCTTATTTCTCTAAACATGTTTGCTTAGTCTTTTCATGTTGTACTTTTCACTCAAGATGTATCTCTATTTAAAGAGATAAATATCTCTTTGGAATATACAAGAAGAATTACCACAAACCTTCTCTTTGTTTTCCAAAACTAAACTTTGGGAGTGGAAAAGTTGAGATTGTTCATAGATTCGATGGGCGAGTTTCGTGTAGAGACGTTTGTGAGCTCATGTTCTTCCCTTATGAGTTCTATGGCATGCATCGTCTAATTTAAATCTCTTCTAATGGTTTCTTTTGAAAGTCTTTTTTCTTTTTTCTTTTTTTCTTTTCAAGAGAAGAATTGGGACTAAATTGTTTGGATTTTTTTCTCTCTCCCTTTTGTCTCCAATGGGTTAGAAATTTAATTTTATCCCTAATTTAGAAATGAATAATACTTCGGTGTTGATCGATGAATAGTATTTTATGTTATTATTATTATTATTCTTCTTTACAAAAGAAACAAACTTTATTAAGAGCATAAGTAATGAAAATTAGCGAAACAATGTAACCAATCTGGTAAACAGACTCCCACGCTATTGTTTCTCTTATTGCGATGCTCAGCGTGCGATTTCGTGTGCAATATTGTTTGCCTCTTATCTGATGTGAGAAATGGAAGTTACTCGATCATTGAATGTTTGGATTTTCTCCACTATCCATCAAATTTTAGTAAGATCCATGCTTCCCGCTTCCCGCTTGAGTAGCCTTTAAATTTTAGTAGTATATCTTCAACTTGCTACGACAATTATATTTGTTTACATTAAAAGAGAGAAAAGAAAAGAGAGATTTTTCCATTTTAATAAATAGATGTCAACTGATGCTAGTGTCGAGTTAAATAAGTTACTACGCAAATTGTCGACCGAAACATTAAACTAGTTAAGGCATCAATGACGGGTTGAAATTTCTGCTCCTACCTTATGTTGTACTTTTTTCTTTTTTGAACGGTTAAACAAACTTCACATGCAACGAGGTAAACTCAATTTCAAAACACCAATTCATCACCCAAACAAAATGGGAGGGCCCCTTCTTGATAGTTACTCCGACCCCCATGGATCCAGAGCCTAAGTTACAAGAGGCATCATAATTAATAGTAATTTGCTCCTTCAAAGGGACAAATAAATCACTGCTATTAGGGTTGACATCCCCCGGGCATACCTCCTTTTTGGATTACACTCGGGAGACATTTTCCTGAAATTTTCAAGGTAATTGCAAATCCAATCCACCTTAGTTAGTATAGGCACTTGTTTACCCTTACAAATATTATTTCTGTCATTCCAGAGAGCCCACATTACCATTGCCACTAATTCCCACTCCTCAACTGCAAGTGTACACAGATCACGTAGCAAGTGATAAAAATATCGAACCAACAATGATTGATTTACTAAACGCTTCACTAATTACTCTAGAAGTAGAAAAGCAAATAAAAGATAACTTGAGGTATAACTAATTGTGACAATATAAGTAAACTCGAATAAATCTTTAAAATGAAGGGCTAGAAATAACATTGTTTTAGCTTGAGATCACAAATCACAAATGAGAGGCTAAGGTTTAAACAATAAGGAAAAAAGAAAGGGGGAGGTTGTATATTTTACTATAATGCAAGTGAATTATGCACTAGCAACAAGGATGTTAGCATTACGTCAAACTAACACGACATCTTCTCAGATTGCCTAGATTTCACGCTATTCAAATTTTACTCAGAACAACAATGTTTTAGCTCCATTTTTAGCCATACTAGGCATGTCTTATTCCTAAGTACCCACACTCTATATTCAAATGTACATCTAACACAAGTAAATGTCACTCTCTATTACAATCTCCCAAAAGTTAAGAAACAACTCATCCAATATGGCGATCAAGCACGTCATTGAACCAATAAGATATAAACAAACTTTAACTCAGCAGCAACATCTTTCCTCCATTAGCTTAGCTAGTCAAAGCCATAACAAAGAAAAAGAAAAGAAGAACTCTCAAGCTCATTTACTTAGTGATACAAAAGAAAAAAGAAGAAAATAAAATAGTAAACTCCTACTCTGAACCTTTCCTTATTTGATGCTTCCTCTTGTTCGTCAAGGTTCTTTTCTTTGTCTTTGTCTTTTCGTGCTCTAGGGATTTGTGTGGAGTGAAAGGATGGAATAGAATGGAATAGAATAATGTTGTAGGCAGCCTTAAATGTTAATTTTTATATCCATCATCGATTGTAGAGCAACACAATGGATAAAGTGGGACCCAGCTCAAATTTTATATGTTTTCTCCATTTTTACTGCAGTGATTCTTGGATAAAAATCTGTTGCTTTCAACTTTCTTTGTTTTTCTATTTTAAGCTCAAATGCTGCAATATCAATAATGCTGCCACAAGAAATTCAAAGTTAGAAAATGTTTCGCAAAAGTCACAACATTAACTAGCAATGCAAAGATACTTTGAGCCTTTACCTATTAAGTCTAAAACAATGGTAAATTGAGCTTCTTTGTGAAATTTCTCTCTACCCAAGACATTTTTCCTCTAAAATAACTTCCTTATGGAGAGTTTATCACCAACGAAAGTGCACACACCTCCCAAATTCACTATCCTCTGACGCAGTACATCCAGACCTAAGTCCCCGTTTCCACCTTTTTTTTATCACACCAAGCAATAAGGTCCAATCCTCAATCTTGTGTCTAATAGATTTATAAATTTAAAAAATATCTAATAGATCAGTTGTCTATTAAACATAAATTTTAAAGTCCAATTTCAATAAAATCACAAGTTTAAAGACTTATTAAATATGAGACATTTTCAAAATTCAAGGACCTGTAAGATACTTAATTGAAAGTTTATTAATCTATTAAATAGTTTTTAAAGTTCAAGAACTTGATATTAAACAAACCTTGAAAATTCATAGACTAAATTTATAATTTAATTTAAAACAAGAATTTTTACAATATATAATTTTAATTTTTAAAATTAGTTTTTTTCCCTTTTTTTTCCTTCAATTATATCTCCCTATCTAACTAGGAAAAGGCCTCCAAAAATCAAATCATATACCATTATTTAAATATATTAACAAATATTTAAGAATTATAATATAAATTAATTTTAATAAAAGTTCTTGATGGTAATTTCATAATTGAATTAAAGTTAATTATTAGAATAACACAGATTTAAAAAGGCAAATAAATTGATTATAGATCTATTCACAAATAATTTTATCAAATTTTGTCAATATATGTTATTAATTAAATTAAAATATCACTTACCAAATTAATTAAATTAAATGTATTTATTTATTTAAATAATACAAGTTAGAAAATGATAAAGAAAAAATCAACAAAGATATCTACCATAATCAAATAATTCAACCAATTTTATAAAATAAAATAAAATACATAAAATAAAAATTAAATCTTAGGTACACAATATTTCATCTTCTCTTCATTCTCATGTGCTTCACTTACTTCTTCAGGCCAACTCCGCTCTCCTTTTCAGCAAAAAGGAGCTTAAGAAGCTTTGTAAATATTTTATTGTTTCTAATTTTCTATTTGAATTAAGAAATCTATGCATTGAACAGTTATTTATGTTTTTCAAAATGGTAAACTTTGGAGACAACAAAAACAAGTTTTTTGTTTTATTTTTTCCCCTCCCTCCAATTTATTCTAAACCATAAATAAAAATATTATTTTATCAGTTGGGAGTCATACAATTCTATTTTTCTTTATTAAAAATTAGAAAGAAAGTGTATGTTATCAAACGAGTCCAGGAATCCTTAAGCTGTAATTCAAAATAAAAGAGTAAAATAAGTATTATCCAGGTTAGGAGATCACCTAAAATCACAAAAACAAGAAAATAAAGAACGGGGACATCTCCATGCAATCCCTTCCCCATCGATCAAAAATCCTTAACAGTCCTATCATAGTCGTCGTCCTGTAAATCCATGTCATAAAAATGTAACATTAAGACACAAAGATCGAAATTAGCTAATTTAATTAGTTTTCTCCCTAATCTAACAACATATTAGGCAGACAAATATTTAAGAAAACACACATATGGTTACCTCATCCACAATGGCCAAATTTTTTAATTTAGGTTGTTTTAGTAAATACGCCAATTCACCGATGGGCAAGTCTATCCACTTGCTCGTCCTCTCTGCTTTCAACTCCAAATGTCTCAGATTAGGAAAATATAATCCTTTTGAATAAATAGGAGCTGACAAGGTAACCCAGTAAACAAACAAGTTGATTAGAACAACGGTATGCAAGTATCCATTTTGGACATAATGATTTTGCTTTTGGTTTCATCCAAAAAGCTTCGTACCAATGGAGATAATTATCAACATCTATATATCATGAATCACTTACTTCCCTAACCAACGTCACCAAAGCCTGACATTGTTTACACACTTTTTAAACCCTATAAAAAGAACAAAAGAAGTTCTTCGTACCTGTTGTGTTGGCGTCAAAGGCAATATGAAAGACCTTGCATTATGAAAAACTCTGAACAACTCGGAGAAAGCTGCTATTTTATTTTGACAGAAATAACCGTTACCGCTTGAGAATTGATAGTTATGAACTTCTATATTTACTTTTTGTATGCACGAGAATTCTAAAGCAGAATTCACAGTAGGTAACATATTGCTAAACGTGACATTTCTGAGACTTGATGTACACGTTAGTTCAACTTCTGAAAAAACTAATTCATTTCCGGAACATAGTACCAAATTCTCAAGTTTTGGAGCACAAATGGTGGCGCTCTCAAAAAGATAATTGATTAAAACCAAAGATTTTAAGTTTGGACAGCCCGAGAACATTCTAATTCCTTTGTAATCTGCATCATCCTCACAATCTTCCCTTCGATCTCTAAAATTCTCAACGATGGTAAAGTCAAGACTCCCCAGTCAGCCACAAACCCACACACCATCTTCAGCACAGTCAGTGATGAACACGCCGACAAACAATATTTCCAGTCATAAACACTAATGTAATAAGTGTCTAGGTAAAGTTCCCGAACATTGTGGCGTCGTGCAAAACATATCAATAATTCAACCAAAACCACTTCATCTTCATTTCCTGAGGAAGTGTAGCTCAATTTTTGAATTTTGGTGCGACAGCGTTCGGATAGAATTCTGAAGATGAAATTCTTGAACGATGATTGTTTCGATCTACAAGCATTTAGACTTGGCTCTTCAAACGGGTAGGACTTGAAATTGAAGTTGAGAGTGGGGATACTAGTCCAAAGGGTCTTCCAGCGTTTTGAGAGAACACAAGTTTGGACAACTTGTTTTGTGTTTATGTTGGAGAGAATGTGACAAAGAAGACAATCTGGGAGAAGGCTGATTCTGTCTTCAATCTTCTTCTTTTTCGACATTGAAAGACCAACAGAGAATTGAGGAACTCGTAACTGAAGAGTTTCAAACTTCAGAGTATATGATATAGCCGCAGAAATTCTTTTACTGTAGCTGAAAAATTCCCGATTGAAAAGACTACTGTTATGAGATTAATATGAAATCGTTTTTTAGATATTATTTTAATTGAGATGTTTTATTCCTATTATGATAAGATTAATTCCTAATCATAATAGAATAGGAAATCTAATTCGAATAATATAATCTAAACTAAATCTAATTCATAAGCTAAATCCCAAATCATATCAAAACGATTCCCAAATCATATCGATTCCTAAAAATCATATCAATCTCATAACAATATTCTTTCTATAATACAATGATGATATGTTATTAGCTCGAAAAAGGAAAGAAGATATTAGACTTGTCAAGGATTGCCTCAATGCTGAATTTGACACGGACTTAAGAGAATAAAAAGGATTCTAGGTATGGAAATCCTTAAACAATCTCGGTCTCGGATTGGACCGGGATCCTCCGCACCTTCATTTTTTTTTACATCTATCCCCCTAGTCCTCTTGTTGTCAATTAAATCCGGACATTTAATATAATATTAACCAAAAATTGATTTTTTTTTTAATTAAATTCGGACAAATCTTATATAATTATGTACATTTTCGATTTTTTCCATATTAAATTTTTAATTAAAAATTTGATCTTTTCAAATTCGTAATGGATTTTAGATTTGTGGAGGGAATAAGGATGGAAAAGAAAGTTGCTGTTTTTTTAATAAAAAAGAGAGAGATGGTTAATTTTGAAACATAGGGTACTACAGTCATTTTTACCTTTAAAAATTATGTAATGGGTAAAAAAAAAAAATAAGGGGAGTGTCACACATTCAAATTTCCCAAAAAGGCCCTACGGCTAAAAAGCCTATTAAAAGATTTTGGTATCTGTTGTGATAATGAAAGCACAATCCATCTGTACAAAAATCAACAATTTGACGATAGAACGAAGCATATAGATGAAAAATATAATTTCAACCAAACAAAATAATTCGAATATTGCTTAAACTTGATTAGATCAATGCATGAAAGGGTGTCATCAACTTGTGTTTTTCCTCTGATTAGTGAAATTGCTTCCCTCCTTACAGTGGACGCATGTCATGAACACCGATAAACCCTAAATCTCTCTTCGTATCTGCAACTACCGGAGAAAACAGGGAATCCAAATTACTCCACAATAGCAACAGGGGATTGCGAAACTTGACAGATGGACAGAAGACGAACAGGCCTAGGCAACACTTTGATTAGGAGTCATTTAATTAGGTTAATGCCATATTTTA